TTACTCTTCTCATTTCTACACACTACTTTATCTTGCTTGTTCGTTTGTGAATCTTGAATATTACTCTTCTCATTTCTACACACTACTTTATCTTGCTTGTTTGTTTGTAAATCTTGAATATTACTCTTCTCCTTCTCCTTTGTATGAACCAGATGTACAAAATCAGTTACGTCATTATTGACACCATCGCCATTGTCATTAATAGAAGTGTCTGCTACTTGGGACCCATGCAAATTGGAGGATATAGGCACATCTAGATAAAATGTAAAAGACATTTTATATGGTAAAAATAATTTATGGCAGCATGAAAGAATATTAACATAAATAAACCGCAAAAAAAAGAATTACAATACCAAAATTTTTGTTATGATCATATCTAGTCATGACATTTTTATTGTTGTATCTGTCACTATTTCTATATGTTTCTGATGTTTCTGTATCTGAATTACTGCAGTCTTCTGGTATACATGAAAGTAAAACGGAAAATTTTTAAATGATACAATACTATCAAGTACTAATACTGCAATCTTTTAAGAAGATGCAAATCTAAATTCATAATAACCATTATGCTGATACATTCAATAATTAATAAGTGCCTTACTTTGTGTTTCCTGGGTACAATTATCGTCAAGATCTGTGTCATTTTCATCTGTGTTACTGTCATTATTAACAGGTAATGATGCCTCATTATTCTTTTTTCTTCCTGAAATACCAAAGAAAAGCAAAACAAAAAAATAAAAAAGACAAAAAATTAGAATTTGGCATACTAAATGCTATATTAGGTGTGAACGAGTCATAGTTGCACATAAAATAATATAAACTCAACAAACTTGCTGTAAAATTGGAAACAGCAAGAAACCCATATAGAACAGTATAATTATAGATGTCATCTTACTAAAATTATTTTATTACAATCACTGGCCGATATGGGTTTGAATGCTGCCAATCTATATTATTAATGTGCAATGTTTGTTTAACTTTGAGCATATGTAAGCTTTTTCTTTGAGTGTTATAAGAGACAAAGAAATCATTACAACAAAACATTTATGCAAATCAGCGCAACAGAAAATTTATGAAAAAAGTGAAAAAATTATTGCTTTAAAAATAACATTGCAATGCAACGTCTCTACATAAGTAAATTCATAAATATGTACAAATCACTTTTCCATTAAAATACAATATTTGGAATTCAAGTATATGCATAGACAGTAACATATAATTAACAAGAAAATAGATTATAATATATGTATAATATATATATATATATATATATATAATAAAAATAAAATAAAAACCAACCACTTATTTTCAAGCCCGGCACAAGTGGTGCTTTGAACTCAGATTCAGTTTCCGAATCATCAGTACATATATTGTGCCTTTTGTGTCGATTGTATGATTTTTCTTTCGAAGGAGGACTATATCTTGCAGTAACAAATCGTTGGCGTTTTGTAGATTTGTCTCTATCAGAGTGTGATAGATCTAGATCAGAGACATCTAAGGCTTTTTCCACCTCCTCTTTAGCTTGTCTTACAGATTCTATACATGCAATTAAACAAAAAAGCAGAGAAGTGCGATACTTTAATCATATAAATGAATTTGTTGTTTTACAGATAAATATTACTTAGTAAAAGAGACATTTATTAAAATATTTATGATAAAAGAAGCTATACACAATTCATTTCAGAGCACTAAAAATTTTTATATCAGTCATCACAAATTTCTGTCAACCCAGAATAAAAAATGGAAAGTATAAAGAGAGATAGCTTTTACAAGTTTGGTGTTAAAACTTTACAAAATACAAAATGTATTATTATATACAAAATTATATATATCTATTCTTATCTCATACTTTTGTGCAAAAAGCAATCCTGTACACTTTACATTTTTTGTAGTGCAATTATGTGTGATTGATATCTTTTCTTACAATATTTGATATTATATATGAAATAAAAATCAGAGAAAAGCAGTGTGTTATAAAAAAATGTTATGTTGCTCATTTTATACTATTTCTGTCATAATAAATATGTATAGTCTATATACCAAGCGTAGTGAAAAATTGCTTCTTATATCAACTGAAAATTTTTTCGAAAACCTGAGAGACCAAGATAAAAATGCAAACTTTTCAACAAAACAAGACAAGAAAAAACGGAACTTAACAGATCATTAAAGCCGAAGAAAAGTGTTCGAAACATATTACAAAAAAGGTATGTAATTGTACAAAGAAAAACGTATAAACGTTCAGCAAAATATATGAATAGAATGTAAAACCGCAAAAATATTCTCTTTTCTATGCATTTGCATTATTTTCACAGTCCTTGTCTCGCTGCTCAATCTTCTTTAATTTCAATTCTTCGTTTTCATGACGCTTTTTTGCATCCTTCAACCAACTGGCAATATAACTGGCTGCAATTTCTGTATTATATAAGAAATTGACACCTCTATCGGTCATTTCTTTTTTATGCCTCTTTACAGCAGCTGCAAAATATAAAAAATACATCATTTACATTCTAACTGAATTCCTTGATGCAAATATGTTGGGCTTAATGTGTGAAAACTACATTTATGCTAAATATAAAAATTTATCATATTTGTATGATATTCCCAACATAAAAATAAATATACAAAATCCATTATACTACAAACAAAAACTGTGCGTAAAATATATTGCTAGCGTACAGTACACTGTTATACTTTAGACTATTATCTTTATTAAAATAGAGCGACAATAAAAGAAACGTATATTATAAAACTCACCAATAACAAGTTTATAAGATATAATATCTAAAAATTTCTTTTTTTCCATTTTTGCTCCTTCTCTGTTAATTCCCTTTAAATTAAAATTCATTGCGACTTTGTTATTTTTTAGCTTGCGCATAATGCAATACACAGAACTCTTCAAATCTTCCCTGCCATGCTCTACTAACAGTGAAATCTGTAACACAAAAATATGAGTCAAGAAAGCAACTACTATGATGAATATTTCCAAAACATAATGAGAGAAAGGTTAAATATTTTCTTACTATTCTCAATTTGTTCTCTTCATCCGATATATAGTCTTCTCATTTCCAGAATTCCTCTATAGAAGTCAATGGAAGGGTTGGAATGTTATTAGTAGTAGAGTTCTCAAGTGTTTCGATAGAATTACACGTTGCAGTATAAATTTTTGTAACGGTTACATGAAGCTTATCAATTTGATTTCGCAATTCATTTATTGCAGTCATTATAGTTTTTGCGTCAACTGTACCTATTTTGTAAACAAAACGAACTATTGTCATAATAGAATAAAAAGGAAAATAAAACATGTTCTGTTGATAGCAAAAAATCATATAACTGTACTATATGATTGCCACAATGTAAAGAATTGTTTTTACAGCTTCCTTGTTTAAGACTCGGTAAAAAGGAATTTTCATAACTGAATTATAAAAATAACATATATATGTTTAATACATTAGAAATTAGACTAATAAATTTTAAATAAAAAATTATAAATCAATACATATATTTTGTCATTAAGAAAAATATCTTTCGGAGTTATTCCATTTTAAAGGCTGTTTTTCAAATATTCATATATTGTGGCAATCATGGATGAATGTAAAGAAATGCTAACTTTAAAGAATATAAACACACTACACTGTATTCCAAGCAATAAAGAAAAAAAATTAAACCTGCAGCAAACGTACAGAGACTAGATTAATTAAAATATCGTTATTGCAAACCGATGAAACAAACATTAATGAATTCTATGAAAATAATATAGGAATCATTTGCATTTGTTTACGTGAAACGTAATTTACCATTCATCTTGATAGGTACGATTTCTTATAGAGATTTACTGATGGTTCGCGTGTAACTATAAAAGCAGCACAACCACAAAAAAAATACTTTACAACTGTAATATATGCACTCTTCGCAAAGTATTAATACCTAATAATTCTATGTATAAGGGCAACTGAAAGTAATATTACCGTGCAACTGTTGCGTTGGTTTACAGGAATTGGTGCTGTTACTCTTCTCATTTCTACACACTACTTTATCTTGCTTGTTCGTTTGTGAATCTTGAATATTACTCTTCTCATTTCTACACACTACTTTATCTTGCTTGTT